AGCTTCCCTTGCAGCTAGGTTTGCCCATGTGACAATGAGTAGCCAACGGAATGGAAGAGTCGTTAAAGGGAGGATTCAGGCCCTGTCTTCCCCCATCGTCCATTCTACTGCCTAAAATAGGAATAGCTTGGTAAGCAATCTTGGACCATGCTGATGAAAACAATACCTGTAGATGCCAGAGCATCGAAATTAAAGTAGCCTGAATCACTGAGGCTGTGGAGCTGGCATATCAGCCCTGGACTATACATGCTTGAAATGTTGCATGGAAGAGAAATAAATATCTTACATTAAGCCATTTATTCTGTGGTTTACTTTACCATGGCTAAACCTATTTGTGTACCCTACAGCCCTGTCTTGGTAAATGAGATTACACTACTAGTGATTTGTTTTACAATTTATTTATTAGACAAACATTTATTGAGCCCTGAGTGCTCTTACTGTATCCTCTTAAATAGGAGCTGGCAGGTGAGCACAGAGCTGGGTACCAGTGGGGAGAGTGAGTATGGTCCATCAAAGGACACAGAAAGGGGAGGTGAGCTCATCTACCTGCCCGTCTTTCCCAGGACCATCCCTTGCCTTGGTTTCCACAAGGGGCAAATATCTTTTGTCTGTGAAGCAACTGTTTTTAGGGATTGTTTTATGATTACCATGGAAGTCTAGAGGGGCTGGGCAAGTTCAAGTTACAGTGAGCAAGGTTGATGATAGCAGAGAGCAGAGGGAACATCCTTGATTGCTGCTAGAAGAAATTGACAAAGGAGCTTCTGTTCATCTTCCAGAGAGTAGACCAGTATGGGCGCAAAAGAGCAGCGCAGTTGGTAAGGGGGAAGGGTGTGGGGCGTGGGACTTCCCCACCAGATTCCCAGAGGAGAGGGACAACGCTGGCCACTGAATTTGTGATTTAAAAAAAAAACCCAACACATTAAATATATGTGAAAAAGAGGCAGAGAAATAAAAAGCGTAGGTTGGCAATCAAAGTGATGTATAGCTGTAAAATAAAGTTTTCAGATTGGAAGTAGAAACCTACCTTCACACCATCCAGGTAACTGGTGTCACTTCCAGACATTTTGTCTCGGGTGGGGGTGCTGCTATTGACTGGCCTGTGTAGCTTCTGTTCCACTTTGTCCTGCTGTGTCTTCCTGTATAGCCAGACTGGAAAGCAAAACATTAGACTGTCATACCCAGGATCAGATGTGATTTAAGTATCCTTGATCACATGCACTACCTGAGAACTAACATGAATGGAGTTAAATGGGGCAGAGGTGTTTGTGTGGGAGACAGTCTCTTTTTTGGTTAGGACAGATGTAGCAGACACAGGCAAGGATTTTGATGGCAGCTTCCTGATCCTGAGATCAGCTAAGGTGTGTGCTCCTGGTGCCAACAGTTGCAGTGATGGCCTCCTGACTCTTACCCTCCTGATGGTGGCCGAGTGAGTAGTTTCCTAGCAGCTCAGGTCTGTGTTGTTTGTTGGGTTGCATTCCTGGAGGCTCAGTCTGGATCTCACTCCTCCAGTCCTGAATTTCAATGACGTTGTAAGCCCTCAATTATCTGTAATATATCCCTTCCTGTTTAGAATAGGTATGGTTGTGTCTGTTATCTGCAACTGAAGCTGATGATAAAGTGCCTAACATAGAGCAGGTGTCACTAAATGTTTGTTGAATGAATGAATCAATGGGCAAATGGAGATTGCGGAGATGTCCACAATGAGTTGGGCAGTCAGACCAGCTGGACTCAACAGAGTGGTAGAGTAATTGACGGAGCACAAGTGGGTGGTGAAATCAATTTGGTGGATTCTAATCAACATTTTATTTTTTTAAATATTTTTATTTATTTCTAGGAGAGAGAGAAGAGAGAGACAGCGTGAGCAGGGGAGGGTCAGAGAGAGAGGGAGACACAGACTCTGAAATAGGCTCCAGGCTCTGAGCTGGCAGTCAGCACAGAGCCCGACGCGGGGCTCGAACCCACGAACCGCGAGATCATGACCTAAGGGAAAGTCGGACGCTTAACCGACTAAGCCACCCAGGTGCCCCTCTAATCAACATTTTAAAAAGATGGAATAGAATAAATAATCTTAGATCACAAATAGTAAATGTAAGCGCACACACACACACACACATTTGCAATGGTGATAATCCGAATATTCAACCACCAGCATGACTCGGACATCAGCCAACTGGAATGGATGTTAACAATATCTACTCATTGCCTGAATACCAACATAAAATGTATCTCCTCTAGTTGGAAAAAAAAAAGTGATTGAAATTCATGGTCTGTGGATTGTAGCTTAAGGTTTTGGGGGAATGGGAGGCCATGGACACATGTTTCTGAGTACCCTTCCTTTGGGCTTGTCCCTGGCTGAAGGAACATGCCCATGACTCATTCCTGCCCTGGGGCAGCCTTTCCTGAACCTAGAGCAATCCTCAGGTGTTGCAACTTGGGACATTCTCCACACCTGTGTTCCGGCCTGCCAACATCCATCCCCACTCCGCGGGAACCAGCAATCTCACATCTCCTCGCTGCCACCACCAGCCCAGCTTTCCATTTAGGAGCCACCTCAACTGGGGTCACCCTCATGGCCCCCAGAGTTTCCCAAAGCACTGATTGTCCTGACTCCACTCTGTCCTTCCACAAGCAGACAGCCCGTCCTCACTGTGCTCTGCTCTTTCTTACCTCCAAATCTTCGCTTACTCTGGACCCCTGCTTGGAAAGCCTTTAGTCTCAGCTTCCCTGAATCCGAGTCTCCCTTCAAGGCTTTGAAACAGAGCACTGCTCCCCTCCTGCTGGCATCCAGGGCTGTTCTGGGCCTTCTACGTAGGATCTTGGTGTCTCCACCCCCTTCACCTCCAAACATTCCCCCCCGCCCCCGCCTGTCTTCCCCAAGAAGCTTTGGTTGTGCTGCTCCACGTCTCAAACTCCTTCAGGCACCTACGTGATCATCATTCTCCCTAGATCACCCCGAGAGCCCCCTTAGGAATGAATTGAGTAAGAGACAATTCCCACTACATCAGTTTTCTCCAGAATTTTATTTTGGATTTCACAGACTGATAAAACTTCCAAAAAAACCTTTGGGGACGGATGGAATTTGCATATATATATTAACATGTATTTAACAACCCTGTAATGACATGGAAAACCGAACAAAACTGCCACTGTATTATGCCATTGTATCATAAAAACACCAAAAAAGTAGGAAGGACATAATTTCAGAACAAAGAATCATTCTTTAAATTAAATATATTTATCTTTAACAAAAAGCCCGACATTACCCTCATTTTCATCATTTTGCTGTAGGCCAATGAGAACATTGTCATGGAAGCCATCGGAAAGAAGAAAGACACTGGTGGATGTCACAGGAGGGAAATGAAGGGACAGGGAAGGGGGTAGGGAGGAGATTGTGTAGGTCCACCAGCGACGTGTCCCCCTGCCCTGGACAGACTCTCACACAAGACTGCGGTGGCCATGTTTGCGCCCTGGCCAATGGGAAGGACTGTGGCCACACTCACAGGTTGGGTGGCTCAGCGATCACTCCCAAACCCCAGCCCTGGATGCCTTGGTGATCTGGATCCCACCCCTCTTCATACTGCACAGGTGCCTGGACTTGTGCCTTTGAACAGCACCAGCTGGATTTGGGAGACAAGCCACTGATAGAAAGGGTACAGGACTTGGAGTTAAGAGCCCAGAGTCTAGGCTTGGCTCTGCTTAGTCACTTGTGGAAGTCCTTTCCTTCTCTGGTCCTCAGTTTCCTTGCCTTAAAATGAAGGCTCTGGGGTGCCTGGATGGCTCAGTCAGTTAAGTGTCCGACTCTTGATTTCGGCTCCAGTCATGATCCCAGGGTCGTGAGATCAAGCCCTGCTTCTCTCTCTCCCTCTCTCTCTGCCCTTCCCTTGCTCACACACATGCACATGTGCTCTCTCTCTCAAAATAAATAAACTTAACAAAAAGAAGGTTCATAATGAGTCTTAAGTCATTTCTGAGGAAAACTGCAGCCCTCTGTCTTAAAAAAATTTTTTTTTGGGGTGCCTGGGTGGCTTAGTTGGTTAAGCGTCTGACTTTCGCTTAGGTCATGATCTCGCGGTTCGTGGGTTCGAGCCCCGCATCGGGCTCTGTGCTGACTGCCAGCTCAGAGCCTGGAGCCTGTTTCAGTCTGTGACTCCCTCTCTCTCTGACCCTCCCCTGCTCACGCTGTCTCTCTCTCTCTCTCCTAGAAATAAATAAAACATTAATAAAAAAAATTTTTAAGCCATGCACATAGAATTTCAGGGGCTCCACCATCCCCTCAGGGCCTTCAGAACAATTCCCAGGGGCCCTTGGACCCCAGATCAAGAACCCCAAATTGCCAAACTGACATACAGCTGCTGGCTCTTGCCTTCAAAGCTGCCCTTTCCTGAGCAGTTAACAGTATTTTTCCAATTATCTAACATTCACAAGGGCACAACCAGATACCTCAGGGAAGGAGGTAACTGTACGAAAAATTATTAATGCTTGGGGATCTCCTCTAGTTCACAGTGGAGCTGGGAGACGTGGCAAGCTTCATGGGTGGGTAACTAGCTGGCCAAAGCAGATGAACAAGGGTCTGAAGAGAGTGGGAGACCATGAGTACTGGAGGGAGAGGACATGTGGTGACAGGAATCCCTTTATGGGAACAAAGCCTTCTGGCCACCCAAGGCAGTACAGGACAATTGTATGAGCTTGGGCTCAATAGCTAGAATGTCCTGGGTTTGTATCTGGCTCTATGACTTAATTATGTTACTTGGGCAAGTTATTTTGCTTTGAGTCTTTGGGTTCCTCATCTGTAAAATGGGGATAAGAGGTAGCAGAAATGACTGAGTACACTAAATATTCCAGGATTCCCTTACATTTCCCAGCCTCCCTTGAAGAAGGTTGAGGTCATGTGACTAGTTCTGGCCAATGGCCTCTGAGTGGAAGAGGCGTATGTCACTCGTGGCCGAGGCATTTAAGTGTCCATGTACTTCCTCCAGCTCTCTTCCACCTTCCAGAATGACTCCTGAAGCCAGTCTTCCGGTTGGTGTAGCTACAAGATGGAAGAAAGGTCTTCCGTCCCATATCAGACTTCACATGAGTGGTAAGTAAAACACTATTGTGCCAAGCCACCAAAATTTCAGGAGTTCTCTGTTGTGACATCTAGTATCAATTATCCTGACAAATATGGAGAAGGCTAACTGAGATAGTGGATCTAAAATCTTTTGAGTACTGTGTGGAGGCTATTATTAGAGAAAAGACTTAAGACTCCTACACTAGTCAGCTTGGCCGCCATAACAAAATATAGACTGGGTAGCTTAAATGACAGAGATGTATTTCTCACAGTTCTGAAAACCAGAAGCCCCAAAGCACGGTGTTAGTCAGCATGGTTGGGTTCTTGTGAGGGCTCTCTTCTTGGCTTGGAGATGGCTGCATTTTTTGCTGTGTCCTCATATGGCAGAGACAGACAGCGAGCTCTCTGGTGTTTTTTGCCTTCTTCTCCAGTAATCTCTGGGCCAAATGTGGGTCTTGAACTCATGACCCCGAGATCGAGAGTAGCCTGCTCTACCAAGTGAGCCAGCCTGGTGCTGCTCTGGTGTCTCTTATGAGGGTACTAATCTCCTTAGGAGGGACCCCTCATGACCTCATCTAAACCTAATCACCTCCCAAAGTCCCTATCTCCACATTCATCATCACACTGGGGGTCATGGCTTCAACATATGAGTTTGGGAGGAGGCATAATTAAGTCTCTAGCACCCCATTCCAAGCCAGGGATTCTCATATCCCTTTTTTTTTTTTAATTTTTAAACGTTTATTTATTTTTGAGCGACAGAGAGAGACAGAGCACAAGTGGGGGAGGGGCAGAGAGCGGGGAAGACACAGAATCCAAAGCAGGTTCCAGGCTCTGAGCTATCAGTACAGAGCCCTATTCCTGGCTTGGACTCGTGAACCTGTTCATGTCAGGTCGTTCTAGTCAGACCTAAGTCTGACGCTTAACTGACTGACCCACCCAGGCGCCCCTCATATCTCTTCTGAAGAGCAAATTTTTAGGGGCACTTGGGTGGCTCAGTCAGTTAAACAACTGGCTCTTGATTTCAGCTCAGGTCATGATCTCTCAGTTTGTTGCAGTTTGTGGCTTCAAGCCCCAGGCTGGGCTCCATGCAGCCATCTCAGGGCGTGCTTGGGACTCTCCCTCTGTCCCTCTCTCTCTGTCCCTTACCCCTCTCCCCCAAATAAATAATATTTTAAAAAGCAAATTTTTAAAAAGAGAAGCAGGCAAAGGTGGGGTGAAGTTGGAGTTTCATGGAGAGGGACGTCCTGAGGAAGGCCCACCTCCCCGGAAACCCCACTGATTGCTCCATGCAGCTCTCCCTGAACCCTGTCTTCTTTCTGAGTCTTCCTCTCTTCTCCCCTCCATTTTGTCCCCCAAACCCTGACTTTCATACAACTCAGAGACAAATGCTTAGACCATTAATCAATTCATTAGGATCGGGCAAGTCCTAGGTCTTGGAAGCCATCTTGTCTTACCTCCTGATTCTTACAGATGACAACATTGGACCTGAAGAGGATGTGGAGAGGCAGGGTGGGGGCGGGGGGTGGGGGGAGTACCAACTTCTTCAGAAGATATAAGGGATGGGGGACAATTTGGAGCACCAAGGACAGAGTGAGAGAGAGTCAGACTATTAAGAAGGGAGCTATTTAAAAAAAAAAGTAGAAGCTATTTTCATTTCAGTATATCAACTTTATAAATTTTCAAAAAATATTATTTAAATTTGGAAGTAATGCATATGGAGGCCTCTAAAATCTACAATCCAGCCTGTCCAAGGCTTGAATCCGGGTGTCATGGGAACACCTTCCACTGCTCCCCAGGGCCTGGGAGACTCCTCTGCGACGCTAGAAAGGGCTTCTGGCCCTTCTGCCTCCGCTCCTGAACAGCCTGTGACCATTAACTTCGCCACCTTCCACCCCCAGTCTAGGGCAGGGCCTTGGGGCACCAGGTCACGTGTCAAGCAAAGTGTTTCCCCTCCCCAAACCCCCGCCCGTCTCCTCTGTGGCCATTCAGGAGCCCAACTGGAGCCTCCAGCAACCGTGCCCAGGCCCATGGCCACAGCCTTCCTGCTCCTCATGGGGGTCCTGATCCCTTGCCTGGCCGAGTTCCTGCACCTTAATAAGAAGTCCAAGAAGGTGAGCCAAAGAACGTTTGGAACCTTCCACTACAGTAGAGGGTGATCGCGGCAGTGGCATCATAGACCGGCCAGCAGGCGCCATTTGGATTTGGAGAGAGATGTTGGGCGTGGGGGTATATACAACCCCCAAATGGGGATTTGTTCCTAGGGCTGGAAGCTTGATGTGTCCCCGGAAGGGCTTCAAAGCCCTACTTCACCTCCTTGTGGCCCTGGAGGTCAAAGAAAGTGGTCTTCTGACCAGCACCCTGCCCTCCCTTCCCCTGAACCAGCGCCCACTCTGTCCCGCCAGCCACGCCCTAATCCCTCCTTCACCCCTTCTAGGTACAGTGACTGTTCCTTCCCTTCCCCGTCTTTCTCTCCCTCCCTTTTTTCCCATCTCCCCCCCCCCCCCGCCAAAGTGTGATCTGGGATCATATGTGCCCTCAGCATGGGGAGGGGTGAGGGGAGACCCAGGAAAGGAGAGGCAGAGGGAGAGGAACCAGCTGGCCTTCCTCTCCTGCTCCTGTGAGTGCTGCTGCAGTGGGTGTAGAGGGCGTGGCACCTGGCGGTGATCATCTCCCAGCTTCCCTTCTTGGCCCCCAAGGGGGGAGGGGGCTTGGCAAGGGCCCAGGAATCCTCCCTCACCTTCCCGCACAGCCAGATGGCGGGTGACACAAGCGTTCTCCCCACAGATGAATGGGGCTGAGTGCTCCCACCACTTGGAGTGCATCAGTGACTGCTGCCTGATAGACCTGAACTACGGGGGTGCTTTCTGTACTCCCAGGGCCAGAGTGGCCATGTCGTGCTTGCCCCAGGTGAGCCTCTGGGCTGGGGCAGCCCCCTGTGGGAGGAAGGATGGGGGACGTTAACAAAATCCACAGCTGCCCCTGCTTCTTCACCCTCTGCTTGGAGTGCCCTTTCCCCTTCCTCCACCCGGCAAGCTCCTACTGATCCTACAATACACAGCCAGCCACCACCTCCTCTGAGAAGCCTTCTCTGCTTGGAGCTCCCACAAGCTCATACCCTCAGCACAGCGTGGCTCTCCCTGGTTTGCCATGTTTTCTGTCTGCCTTCACTGCTGGCTGGGGCTCTTCAAGGCAGGCTTGTAGCGTGTCCATCTTTGAGCTCCCTCCCCTCCCCCCCAACTTAGTATCTGCCTATAGTAGGTATTCAACAAATGTTTGTTGAATGAATATTTCCTACCCTAACATCAGTGAGGCCAAGTACATGGGAGAAGACTTTTTCTCTACTGAGCTCCACCTCCCTGCCACAATGACCTAATTTTTTGAGAGGAGCACAGCACTGCAGGGGCAGAACCGTAGCTTGGGAGTTTGGACCTAGTTTAAATCCTAGGTTTTTCACCCCCTGTCTTTGTAACCTCAGCCAGGTCACTTCCGCTCTCTCGGCCTTAGTTTCCTCATCTGTAAAATGGGGCTAAAGTAACAACCTCACCAGGTTGTCCTGGCAACCACAGTGTTCACTGGGGCTTGGTTATGAGCTGGTAGAAATGCAGAATGCATAGTACATCCTGTTACTGCTCATCTCTTCTCATCTGGCCCCGGTCCCAAAGCTCTCTAGGAAGAATGGACTTGGCCTCCATGTGCTTGTCTGGGGAGCCGATGCTGTGAGGAACCGGTCAGGCCCCGGACTCTCCAGCTGAGGTGGCCAGAGGGTCTTTTCGTTATGGGCCCTTGCTCTATTTTGTTTAGTCCTCACATCACCCTGTGAGGCGCGTTACTATTAATATCCCCTTTTGACAGATGAGGAAACTGAAACCAAGCAGTTCATTAACTTGCCTGAGGCCACAGAGCTGTAGAGGACTGCTCACCCCTTCACTTGCTCTTGCTCCCCAAGATGTTTAGACCCTCTTCTTCCCTCTACCTTGGTGACTCCCAACTCTTGGTCGCATCTCCCACAGACCGAGGGAACCATCAACATCATATGCCCCTGCCAGTGGGGCTTGAAATGCTTCTCCAGGGACCCGATCTGTCCCCGCCGGTGCCACCTGATTTAGAGGAGGATGCAGGCTGGTCGCTGCCACCCTTGCCTGGGGGCCAGGGGCCTGGAGAGCCCCCATGTTGCTCAAAATCCAATTCCTGAGACATTAAAGTCACTTCCCGGCTCTGGCCTCTGTCTGCACTTCCTGGGAGAGGAAATCTGGTAGGGACTGTCCCGTCTGGGGGCAGGAAGGGTTGGTCCTATCTGGAGGGTGAAACGGCAGGAAAGGAACGGGGTAGGGGTAGGGAGCGAAGAGGCTGGGTCCCCGGAGGGGATGGAGGGCTGTGTGGGAAGAGCAGGGTTGAGGAATACAGCTGGAGAGTGTGTGTTGGGTGCCCATGGATGGGTGTGTGATGGGAAGGACTGGAAGGGACTGTTGAAATGCTTTCCAAGGGTGGAGGTCATTGAGAGAGTGTCAGTGAGAATGTACGTGAAGAATAAGTGCAAAAATGTTCATGCCAGGGGCGCCCGGGTGGCTTAGTCGGTTAAGCGTCCGACTTTCGCTTAGGTCATGATCTCGCGGTTCGTGGGTTCGAGCCCCGCGTCGGGCTCTGTGCTGACTGCCAGCTCCGAGCCTGGAGCCTGTTTCAGAGCCTGTGACTCCCTCTCTCTGACCCTCCCCTGCTCACGCTGTCTCTCTCTTTCCTAGAAATAAATAAAAAACATTAAAAAAAGATGTTCATGCCTGGTGGTGAGAAAGGGACCTGGTGCATGGAGGTCTCCATTTTCAGATATCATCAGTTCCACTTTATGGATAAAGAAACTGAGGCTCAGAGAGCTACGTGACTTGCCCAACGTCACATCATGGGGGGATCAGTTAGGATTCTTCCCGCTGCAAGTATCCAAAACAACCCAAACTGGTCTGGATGACCAGGAAACTCACTGGCGGTCACAAACGGAAGTCGAGTGGCTAGCGTGCCTAAGGTCTGGCTGAATCCAGCAGCTCCATGGCCCTCAGGATGGATTCCTTGTCAGGAGCCACAGAAGCTCCTGGTGTCACCTAACAATAACAGCTAAGATTTCTTGAGCACTGATGTTTCACACACTGTGCAAAGTGCTTTCTTATTTATATTAATTTATTTTATTGTTACAACAAGTTTAACGTAGGTACCATAAAATTATTCCTATTTTGCAAATAGGGGTGTGCCTCGCTGGCTCCGTTGGGAGAGGGTGCAACTCTTCCTCTCAGGGTCATGAGTTTGAGCCTACACTGGGTATAGAGATTACAAAATTAATTAATTAATTAATAAACCTACTTTACAAATAGGGCATTGCGTACCCTTGTCAGGAGTTCAGAGTAAGGGGTGGGGCTGGGATTTGAACCCAGGCTGCCTTGCTCCCAAGGGCAGGCTCTTAACCACAAATCCATACCACACCTTCCAGAGAAAAGGAAACCTCTCTGTCTCCCACTTCTCAGCCAACATCCTAAGACTGATTCTGACCGGATTGGCTTAGTCTGCAGGCTCATCCTTAAGCCAATCTGCTGTTATGACGGCAGCTCTTCTGTGAGCTACACCTTGACTGGGCTGTGTACTCTTCTGGTTTAACCACAGGAAGGGGAGCTCATAACCTTCAACTTCCCAGCAAGTTTGGCGGTAAAGCCCAGTTAAGTCACTGGGGAAACGTGGTAGAATTGTCGACAGTTCTCCGGAGAGGACCTATCTATATATCTGTGACCAAGTCATCGCTTTGTTTTCTTTAGGGGGTGAACATGGCAAAAGTTTCACGAATATTCAAGATTAAAAAAAAAAAAAAACGAAGGAAAACTATGAGGTCCCTCTCACAGATTCTGCCTACCCCAAACACAGACAATATGCTATCCTTAAGCTTAATGATAAGCTTTGTGGCAGGTGTGACCCCCCCCCTTTGAAAGCCCCCTATAAGTAGAGCCCCCTGAAGCCAGACTTGAGGAGTAGGAGAGGCACAGAATGGGGAAGGGATGGAAGCACACTGACCTCTCCCAGCCTGGTGGGTATGGAGAGAACGTGCGTCAATTATTTGCCTGTGCGCCTTCCTACTGCTCACTCTTTATCCCTGGAGACTACATCTCCCAGTCTCTCTTGTCCTCTGGCTTCTAGGGCTGGCTGGAGATCAGGGCGCAGGCCAAGGAGCCGTTGCCCCTCTTCCCACCTCCCCCAGCCCCACACCTGCGGCAGGTGAGGCCCTCCTGTGTCCTTTGGGACAGCCACCCCTCCCCCACCTCTGGCAGTCCCCAGGGACTCCAGTCATAGCGTTTCTCCCGCCATGGGGCATTGGTGTCTTCCTGCTGTTAATCTCCTGGTGGCCTTGACATCCTGCTGGGTTTCTCAGCTCTTCCATCACCTATGCGACTGGTTCCCTTGTTTTTTTTTTTTTTTTTAATGTTTATTTATTTATTTTTGAAAGAGAGCAAGCAGGGCAGAGGAGGACAGAGGATCTGAAGTAGGCTCTGTGCTGACAGCAGAGAGCCCAATGCGGGGCTCAAACTCAGGGACCGTGAGATCATGACCTGAGCTGAAGTCAGACACTCAATTGACTGAGCCACCCAGGCACCACCATTTCCCTGTCTTAAATTGTCCCTGTTTCAAATACCTAGAGTAGTTTTTGTCTTCCTGACTGAACATCTACAGGCAGAGAAGTAAACCTTCCAAGTGGAGGTAAAGCTGATTCTAGAACACTAAACCCTCCTTTATTTTTTATTTATTATTATTTTTTTTTTACAAATAGTTTATTGTCAAATTAGTTTCCACATAACACTCAGTGCTCATCCCCACAAGTGTCCTCCTCCCTGCCCATCCCTCCTCCCCCCCACATCCATCAGTCCTCAGTTTTTGTCAGCATTCAAGAGTCTCTCATGGTTTGCCTCTCTCCCTTTCCCCCACCATTTCCGCCCTTCTTCTCCCCCTTGTTCCTCCATCATGTTCCTCCTAATCCTCCTATACGTGCAAACATATGATATTTGTCCTTCTCTGCCTGACTTATTTCGCTCAGCATAACACCCTCAAGGTCCATCCATGTTGCTACACATGGCCAGATTTCATTGTTTCTCATTGCCATGTAGTATTCCATGGTATAGATAAACCACATCTTCTTGATCCATTCGTCTGTTGATGGACACTTAAGCTCTTTCCATGTTTTGGCTATTGTGGAGAGTGCTGCTATGAACTTTGGGGTACATGTGCTCCTATGCCTCAGCATTTCTGTATCCCTTTAAACCCTCCTTTAAATAGGTGGAATTCGGGGCGCCTTGGTAGCTCAGTCGGCTAAGCACCCGGCTTCAGCTCAGGTCATGATCTCACGGTTTGTGGGTTCGAGCCCTGCATCAGGCTCTGTGCTGACAGCTCAGAGCCTGGAGTCTGCTTCTGATTCTGTCTCTCTCTCTGCCTCTCTCTGCCTCTCCCCCGCTTGTACTCTGTCTCTCTCTGTCTTTCAAACCTAAATAAATGTTAAAAAATTATTTTAAAAAATAGGCGGAATTCACTCAAAACACCACTGCTTTGAAAAGAAAGCTAAGGTTGGTAGTGACTGATGAAAGATTGTATGAATATTTCTACTTTGAAAAAAATTAAAACCATAAAGACTGAATACATCAAATAAAAATTGTGACATTTCATATTGCTGTAAATTAGGCACACAGGGTGAGGCCCTATACATTCCCACTTGCCATATACAAAAACACTTACCAATTTGCCTGCCAAAAATTCATTGCATCCTTTCTTTCCGTGACCCTGGATTTCCTTTAAGGAAACCACCCCTTCTGTCCTCAGTCCATGAGGTTCAGTGGGCTCCATTCACATCAGAACACTAAATCTGGCTGAGATTGGTTCAGCAGGTGGCCAGGAGGCTGGTTCTTGCCTCTACAGATGGGTTTGAAGATGGACACATGACCCAGTTTGTCCAGTCAGAAGGAAGGCTAGAATTTGTCCAAGAGTTACTGAGATGAAATGCTTTCTCTTCCACTGAACTTGAACATGGGAGAAAGTACTCCATGGTTATTGGCAGCCATCTTATTACCATGTGGACTCAGAATGAAGCCAACACAGAGAGTTGAGCCAGGTTGTAGAGTCGTCATTTTAGCTCCTGGGTCGAGCTGTGCCTTCCACCAGAGAGCTCTACCCATCCTGCTTTTACGTCACAAAACCCAATAAACTCACTTTTTGTCCTTAACCACTTTAGGTTGGGATTCTGTCACTTGCAACCAAATGAGTCCTGACTGATTCCCTGTCTCTTGAAGATGAAAAGTTTTTCAGAACCTCCCATTCTTGCTGTGGTAATAAATACTTGCGCTTGTTTCTTTGTTCCCTTATGGGAGTTCGTATGCAGATTCAGAGGCATTGGTTTTCTGCACTGGACATTCGAGAATGAATATGTTCTGGTCCCCCTGGCTGGCTCAGTCGGTTAAGCTTCTGACTCTTGATTTCGGCTCGGGTCATGATCTCAGGGGTGTGGGATCGAGCCCCTCATTGTGTTCCGCACTGAGTGTGGAGTCTGCTTGGGATTCTCCCTCTTGCTCTGCTCCTCCCCTCCCCAAATAAAAAATAAAATAAATGTTCCTCGCCTGGAGGTTTTAGAGGAATAATCTTAATGCTGAGAAGGCAAAGCTCCAGGCCACCTTCATTTAACCAAATCTTTTCCCTCCTATCTGATCAGTCTTTCTCTGCCCAGACATGGGGTCTCAGCCCCTCTCTCAGAAGACTTATTTCTTTAAAAAAAATCTTTTAATGTTTATTTATTCTTGAGAGAGAGACAGAGACAGAGAATGAGCCGGGGAGGGGCAGAGAGAGGAGACAGAATCCCAAGCAGGTTCCGCATTATCAGCACGGAGCCTGACATGGGGCTCGAACTCATGAACTGTGAGATCATGACTTGAGCTGAAGTCAGACGCTTAACCGACTGAGCCACCCAGGGGACCCTCAGAAGCCTTATTACTAAGGTGAGGTCTCTACCCCTATAGTTTCCTCCTTTCTTTCCAATACGAGGCAGAGACAATGCTCTGAATTCAAGTCCCATTTCATTGTCTTCATCCTTGGCACTGGA